AGAGCCATGTGCATGATCAGAGGTCAGGAAAACAGACCTTACAATGACAGGCTGAGATCTATGAGGCTCTTTAGCCTGGAAAAGCACAGGCTCAGGGGTGATCTGATGGCTACCTATAAGTTTATCAGGGGTGACCACCAGTATCTGGGGGAACATTTGTACACCAGAGCACCCCAAGGGATGACGAGGTCGAGTGGTTATAAACTACTGCAAGACCATTTCAGTCTGGACATAAAGAACAATTTCTTTACTGTCTGAGCCCCCAAGGTCTGGAATAACCTGCCATCAGAGGTGGTTCAAGCACCTACATGGAACACCTTCAAGAGTAAATTGGATGCTTATCTTGCTGGGATCCTATGACCCCAGATGACTTCCTGCCCTTTGGGCAGGGGGCTGGACTCGATGATCTTCCGAGGTCCCTTCCAGCCCTAATGTCTACGAAATGTGTGAAATCATAGAAGCTATAGTAAATAAAAGAAAAAACACATATATTGGTAACATGGTGGGATGGGAAAGGAAAGGAACAGGAGGGGAGGATTCAAGCAGGTTGTCTTTGGGATTGGGATGGGGTCTTTGGGATCACATACTGATGGAGAGAGACTAGACCGACCAAGCATAGGTGGGTGCAAGTGACAAGTGACAAGGATTTTGGGGTGACCATGACCATGCCCAAGGTTGACTCCCAGTGTGAGTCAGGACTGCCCAGTGAGAGTCCGGGGCAGGAACTGGGGAGCCCAGGTGGTTTACATGCACCTCCTGCTGTAATACGTTAGGAAAGACATCATAGGGGGTAAATTGGTATTTGACTCCCTCTACTGAAATCTGTGGGGAATGACATACGAGGCTGTGCCATTCATGCAAACATGAACACTGTGTCGTGCAAACACAAATGCACCGCACCAAAAAAAAAGCTGCGTTAAAATTTTCAGGTGCTCTACATTAATGCCCGTGTCATCTACACATGCCCTATAATAAGGCATACAAAGAAGAAGGCAGGGATGGAAGTTAAGCTGCAAGACACCTAAATTCTGGCATTTCCTAAAGTTCTGAATTATTTTCTGTGTGTAACTACATATAAGCTGTGGAACTCACTCCCCACAATATGCAATAGAGGCAAAGAATTTATGATGAGATTTTAAGTAGACAGTCATATGAAAAACTAAACTATATTATTTATTACACTAAAAGATTTAAAATATAGAAGCCATCTCAACCCTCAACATGTAAAACAAAAAACAGTAACACATCATATTTACCTGCATACCATAAGCACCTATTTCCCAAACAACAGCCCTTCAGAATTAGAGTATCTGAAATGGGGAAACTAATTTTCTTCACTGAAATAAAATCAGGGAAGAGAAGCAGTATGAAGAGGTTATTCTGCAAAATGACTTCCCCATCTCTCTTGGGCAGCAAGCAAGCAGGGGCAGAGTCCAGTTTTAACCTTTTCACAGCCACCAAAAACTGCTGCTAATGCCATAGCAGCTGTTAAAGGGTTAACAATTCACTCTGCAGACACATCCACACATGCAAGCACGTTCACTTGCAGCAGCTTAAATAGAAGCAGTACAAATTTCAGCCAGGGCTTTTTGCCTCAGCACACATGCTCAGACATGCACTTTGTTGTGGAGCAAATTGTGCCACTTGGGGTAAAATAACCCTGCCTGGCTCCTCCTGGATCTTCAGCCAGG